AGGAATAATGAGGGGTCAGAAATGCCTCTTTTCTTACACGGAAGAAAGAACATAGAGGAATGGTCTCTAACCAAAGTACTTGAAGCCTAGTCAAGAATCTAAAGGATTAACAACTCAGTACTCCATCTTCAATGGAAAGCAATTTAAAATGCACCTTAGAGATGTTTGATTAGAGACTCAAAAGAATACATTTTCGTGATGCTTTACCTTACAACAGTCCTATGACAATTTGCATACAGAAAACAGGTTGAGATTGCTAGTGCTGAATTTCAGAAAATGTCTAGACAAGTCCAGCCTCCTCACTACAATCACTGGATGCTGTAGGGTAAAGAGACTGTAGTAGGGTCACACTTCCTTAATTACCCCTTGGAAAAGCCCCCCAGTTTGGGCATTCCTCCAGTAGATAATTCCCCACTGTAGTGCAGAATCTCTTACAACAGTGAAGAAGGAGCCCTGTCCGTGGTGCTCAGCTACAACACTGGGCCACCAGGGAGGCTGCTGAGCCTGCACCTGGTCACAAAACACCAAGCAAGACCGAAAGGATAGAAAACAAACTGAAAACAAACCAGACAGCAATCCAACAAAAAAATCCCAACAAACCAAAAAAACCCAAAACAAATCAAACCAGGAAAAAAACCAAAGAAAAAAACAACCAAAAAGAAGTTGAAACAAAGGCCTCGCACCGTTGCCAGCAGAAGTGTACTATGATAACAGGGCTTTCACCTGAGTCTTCAAAGCCATCTTCAGAACAGACTCTTGTTGAAAAGGTTAAGTAGGCTTTTGTTCCAGGAGGAAAGCATACAGAGACCGAATTCAAGCAGGCCTCTTGCAAAGCAATGTTTAATACTTGGCATCATTCTTCGATGCAGAGTCTGCTCCATGGGACCTCAAGTGATAATGTGTCTTTTCCCTGCATAAGGGCTGTCCATCCCTGCCCGGTGATGGAGCACTGCACACCTACAAAGGTTGTCAGCCAGGGGAGTTACCCTGTTCCAGCAGCATTGTTTCAGACTGAATGGTTTCTGAAAAATGAAAGAGCAGAGACCTTGCTTACCTTGGTAACACAAAGCCACATTATCTGGTTGCAAATTTGCCCTACTGCATAAACACAGCAGATCCATGGCCAGACGTTTCCTGGCTCCCTCCTCTTCAGTGGGGTATTTCTGATCATTTCCCATTAGGCCTGAGCACTAATACATCTCATCTACAAGTGGATGATTACTACCTTGAAACAGTTTGAAAAGCAAAGTAAGCACAGCAATGGTTTGTTCCTATCACAAAGCTTGCCAGTTTCTCTCAACTACCAGCAACCAAACAAAAAACACATCCCACTTCAAAATCAAAAACCAGGTGAAAGCCCAAAAAGCTGCAAGAACTAACTCCCCCTGGAATGGGAAAGAAACTATCCCTATCTAGCTGCACCATACCTAGTTACTATGGCACATTCTGCTGCTGAGTCCTCTACAGGGCACAGCAGAATAGAAGACTGGTTCTTTCAGGAGGGGTCCTACCTCTTGAGGCAACTTTAATTTTGGGATTAAACCCCAGTGCTTCTCAGATGTGAACCAATGAGAAGAAGCTAATTTCAGAAAGTCTGATCCACACCTTCCCAGAGTGTATTTTTTATCCAAAGCTATAGAATTGACCAATGCAAGAGTTTACAGGTGTCTTGCTTTGCAGTGTGAAGACCCTACATTATAGGCTGACAGCAGAAGCCACTGAAACTACAAGGTGAATGTATATATGAATACAGACTACAACCTGAAACCCTACCTGCAACACTGAGCATCACAACACTTAATCTTTTTATGGCAAAGGGAACTGCTGAAGACCTAAATGTCTTGGAGAGGGTACAAAAGCAACAGGCAGGTGAGCATCACTTGAAGAGATCAGAGATCTCTTGCAGCCAGTATTTCACTCACATCCTTTGCAGTGGGTTACTTTCATACCATGAGAAAGTGTAATAACTTGAATTGCATAGTGAAGAGTCTGGATTCTGTTCTAAAAATGTGTCTATAGACTGTCTTGTCCATCCAGACTTGTTTGAACCATTATGTGGGAAAACTCCACGACTGGAAATAAGAAAATCCTTGCTCTCCAAGCTTGACAGCTGTGATAAAAAGGCACTTAAGTCAGAGGAGAAGGCTGACTGCACACATCTTAACTTCAGTTCCAGTTCAGTAAGGGAATAACACTGCCAGATTATGATGGCTGTTCTCATCCATACAATGGGATACAAACAACTTGTTTCTCAGAGGGGAAAAAAACATTTTATTCAGAAAATAATTTCATCTTAGGTTCCAAAAAAAGGCATGTCTACATACCAGAACACAAACTAAAGCTAATCTTACATTCATGACATAATTTAGCCTAACAGCATATTGCACTGTGTTGAAAATCAGACCATTAGGAAAGAAAACACATTCATTAGACACTGTGAACTGGGCAAACATCCACGGAAAAACAGAAAATAATTTAGCCTGATTTTCCATCCAGTTAATCAGTCCTGAAGCCAATGGAATCATTGTATAATTAAGCAGATTTCTCTAAAGAGCTCATAATAGTTCACACTGCTTTAATAACCTGCCTATGTGTCAGAGAAGCTGAAGAAAAGAGAAATTTTCAGGACTGAAGGAAAATTTAAAAAACACATTCTGAATATCAAGTAGTTTAGGAAATATGAAAATTCATAGGAACAGGTAACATCAGGGTGGTGACAAAGAAGCATGACCATATTTTCTTCTCAGTTTTGAAGTAAAAAAAGTACCTGAGGATGTGGTACACATAAGAATTACTCTCTTGTGCACCATATTATGGTCACACTCGTATACTATAAAAAATCCTAGTAATTTGTTTCATTTAGAAGTGCCATTTTTAACTAAATACATTATATACAGAATCCCATTCTTAGCAAGAAAAAAAGAAATATTGCCTGAGAAATTGCAGAAGACTAATACACCTGTTATGCATTTTATTGTTTCTGTAGATATTTAATATGTTAATAACAAATATACCCTCAGGAGTGGAAGTTTACCACTGTATAAGAAACTTAAGCTAGGGAGTTATATGCATAATACTGTACAAGCATTATTACAAAAAGGATAATCATTTAGTTATTGAAAGAGTAGATAAAAGTGCAAAACCAAACTGATAATTAAGGACAACAATGACATCTAGTGGACACTCGGAAAACTGACCCGCAGATAAGAGGGAAAAGATCCAGCTGCTGTTACTGTTCTACATACAGTGATCAGCTCCCAGATTGCTACAGTACAATTAGGAAGATTAAAAGACAGAATTTGCTGCTGCTGAAAGTCAAAGTAATGTGATGATTCATTTCTTTTGAAAGAATATTTAATTAAATACTTTAAAAAAAAATAAAACACATCAAGACCTCTCCATTTAAGATTTAGGATAAAAGTAAAGGTCAAAGCTTGAGAGAACATCACAAATCATTGAAAGGACACAGTGCTAACATAAGAGGCATATATCTTTGCTACCCTTTTTTACTCCTACTGCATCCACAACCTTCTACTTATGCATCACTCTTGGGACTTCAAACTGTTGGGATTGAAAAGCAAAATGAAAATAATAAAAATCCCAGAAATAAAAATTCAAACCACTATTTAGCATCTCCCTTTTCTTGTTGTCATTCCAATCCTTCTGTTATTGTAAAACCTGCCATATAAAGCTGGTAAGTTAGACCTTCCCAAAGTATCCGCCAGTAGCTACTGAGCTCTAGAGAAGAAGAATTTGAAACATGAGGCCCTGCTTATACCTGTAAACCTGGTTAGTTTAGAAGGTGGACATCTAATAAGATCATAGACTAATTTAAATCTGCTTTTACTATTTATCAGAAGGTAAGCAAAACTAAGCAGTTAAAGCAACTCAAATCTGATCTCATTTGTTCTGGCTAGAAGCATCACTATGAAAAAATACTGGGTTTGACTGTTACATTTTTGTAAATAAAAACATTAATAAGACACTACAACTGTGTCATTCAAAGTCTTAAGCATATCTTCAGAACTGGAAATTGGATTTTGCATCATATTGTTAAAAAACTGCATCCCTTTCACAATTTCTACATCTCAGTGACTGTCCAATATATAAAAAAAAAGCTTTACAAAAAATTAGAAACTGTACTCAAAAGTTAAATATCATTAATGAACATATATGACTGTAATTGACATTACTTTCAATTTAAGTTGGTATCTTGTTTGCTCTGTGTATGATTACAGAAAAGTTAGCTTCAATTCTACGAGCTCTCACCACCAGCAGCTGCTGGAGTCAGCTATTAGAAGATATGGAGCAGATTCTCCCTTACATAAAGATCCTCTAACCAGCAGAATACAAAGAAACCTTTGCAGAACTGGTTATCTGCCTTTGTGTCCTAATTTCTCTTTCCAGAGTCTCAAAGTTAGCTTTGAATCAGATGCTGCCAGTTAGTAAGAGAATATGCAGCCTCCCAACAATGAAATCCAGACTCTAAAATATTTATGCACCATACATGCCTATAATTAAAATCTGTAGTTTTAAATTCTGAGTCCTAGTGATGAGACTCAACAGGTGAGCAAGTCATTAATGAAAAAATAACTCAAATTCATGCTTTTTTTAAAAAAAAAAAAATGCAAGCATTTAAAAGCTAAGTTTCCCTTTTGATGCATGCAATGCATACATCTGCAGGTATTTTACATGAGTAAAATCAAAGTTTAACCAACTCTAAACAGCCTAGTTCTGGACACCCCTGCTCTCTATCCCATTGTAGGATCCATATATCAAGTCCATGATAACGATGTTGGCAATGGAGCCTAATAAAAAAACAGAAACCAGACGAGTAAATTTACAAGGCAAAAACTAAAAGCAAACATCAAAATAAACCCAGCCATTTTCCCACTTCAAGCACAATGCCATATTTTACCTCCCAAACTGATTTTTCTACATCAGATGTCCTAATGAGAGAGAACAATCTTAAGACACAAAGCAAAGCATCAGAGACCTACCCGGATTTCCTGGAGATTATGAAAATTATTTCCTACTCTGACAGAGATTTTGCTTGGAGTGTAACTTTCATCAGATTTGTAGTCTGCATAAATGCATAATGTCTTCACTGTTGTTTTTCTTCTGCAAGAAGCAACACAAGCTATGTAAGCATCATAAAGAAAAATATTCAGGATCAGGTTATTGCTAGTTTGCAACAACTAAGGATTTAAATGTTCTAAAAATGAATATGTGTGTCTACTGATTTATAAGAAACTTGCTTTTAAAGAACAAGGTGGTTTTTTCACATTAGGTTATGTACACAGAGTTGATTTTCAGTGTTCTCCGTTGTCTGCCTTCAGAAATGTCAGAATACCAAGAAATGGGCCAAGATGCCAAATAAGCCCATGTATGTAATGAAGCTTATGTTTAGCTTATCAAATATCAGCTCTCTTGTTATACCAAGGGGTTCTCAAAAAAGGAAATAAAAAAAGGTGACAAACATCTAACATCACCTTAAGTTTGGTTAAAGAAAAAGTACTGAAAGCATCCTACACAGAATAGAATAAAAAAGGTTTCTCAAACTCGGCTGTCAGGTTACACAGGACTACTTTAACAACAACCATCTATCCTTCAAATTACTCTCAAAGACAGAAAGTCTGGATAAAAGTCACCTTAAGGAGGCAATTGTGACGCTGTCACAAATGACATACTATCAAACCTTTCTTTTGCTTGCTTATTTAGGCATTTAGTAAATCATTACATTTGAAAATCTCACTTTTATAAATGCCATCTAACTGGCTTCTTACCAGCTGGGTAACAGGATTAATGCAGGAGTCCTTTCACTTCCAAAATTCCTATCTTGGTGAACAGTTATCAACACAAAGTTATATAAAACACCCTAACTCATAGGGAGTATTTTTTAATACCTAAATTGGATGTTCACCAAATGAGGCTGTGATCCATCTGACTGCCAGTAAGTTTCTAGATTATCATCTCGTAACTGATCCACTCCAAACCCTAAGAAAAAGAAAATGTTATAGTCTTGAATTTCCCATTTCCGTGATGCAAATGTAGCTTCTCTTCAGCTGTTACAAACTAATGTAGCCCAAGGTATAACATATAAGGAAATATTTCTAGATACCCAAGTTGTGCCTATGCTTTTCTGACACAAAACTAAAACAGAGGAATTTGTGAAAACTCAATGCTGTGGAAGTCTGTGGGGTGTGAAACCATGTCAACATGTCCTGGAATTTCAAATGGTTAAGTAGTAACTCATATGGATTGTCAGAACACCAATTAACAGTTAGATCTTCCCACTTATTCTGTAATTTAACTTGCTGAACTAAGGGAAAATCGTTAGCAGAGACCATTCATTTATTATAAAATTTTAGCCAAATGTAACATTTTCAAGTAGTCTTCTGAAATATTTTTGGTTTTTCAAGTTACTAGCTAGAAAAAGCAACAGATGGCAAAAACAGTATTCCTGAAAGTTAATGCCATCACATTTAAAGAAGCAATTCCAAATCTATATTTTTCTATCCCTTCATTATCTCTCCTTTCACTAATCACATCCTTTTATTGATTGCCCACACTAATTGCAGTTCTAATGTAGTAGTTGAAGTTTAATCTGCAATAAAAAATTACTTTCCCCCTGTTTAAGCAACAAAACCATATGACATTTTTCTTCAAGTAAGCTTCCAGGATATCAGACCAAACACATTCAGCCTGAGCACAATATTGTGACATAAAGGGATCATTCCCTTTAGGCTGCAGCAAGATACAAGATAAATTCCCAATAGCTATTTCTGAAATAGCAAATCAAACACCCCAGAGGAAAAGAACACAGATCTTAAGATATTTTGAGCAGGTATCATTAACTGCACTTCAGGACCATTTACAATAGTTTTATTTTATTTGCAGGGTTTTAGGGAGCCACACTATAATGGCCAAGTCCACACAAAGTTTAGACAGAACATTTAGGTCACCCAACTGCATGGCTGCTCTTTGGCAAAAATCAAAGACACCCAGGCAAGATGCCAAAGCACAGAAGCAACTACACAGTTCTGGGTGGGTTCTTGCTCACATGGTTTAGTTTGTTCACTGTGCAAGTAAAACAAAAAAACTCAATTGAGTATAAAATAGGTAAAACTTCTGTTAACATGAGACAGTAGGATTTTACCTGGCTTACAGGATGAAAGGGACCAAACTGCTTGTGAGCCTATTTCTCTAACAGTACCAGTCCTCTCTAACTGCTTTGGATCAGCACCAGGTGGGGTCTTGTTTGGGGTAGTCATTTCTAGTAAGAGAAAACAAGTGAGTTAGTTGACACATTTTTGGCTTAATGGGAAAATTAAAGGCTTGTGTTTGTTCACAGACACTTTAATTCTTTGGCCTCACACTTAGGTAATAGCCTACAGAATATGTGGTTTATACATATACACATATATGCATACATTTTTGCACATCTGTAGAACCTTTTATTTATACATATATAAGGTAACATGTATAAGTACATATAATACACTAAGTAGTCTAAGAGGTTCCACATATACATAAGTTTTGTGTCCTTAAAATTTCAATACATATTTGGAACATTCATAAGACCTACTTTATTTGTATCATTCTGACTTACACATACAGAGTTAGCCAGGGGTTCAGGATTTGGTTTTTATGGTTCTGTTTGGTTTTAAGACATTAAAACAGACCTTGTTGATTTAAAGTCTAGCAGTACAACTTCACTCCACACTCCTCCCACATACACTTAAAAGTTTTACTTAATCTGCAAGTTCAGAAACCTATTCAGAAACTACAGCAAGCCTGTCCTGGAGATACTGCTCCTTAAAAATAGAAAAGGAGAGTTTAAACAAATTGTGTAGTCTCTAATTTGTAACAACTTGTTATAGCCACATTTATCCACGGTTCATATCCTTAACTTCACAACTTCATCTGGAATCATCACCTGTGACTTGCACTGCTCAAGTAACCACGTACAGTCTCAACACCCAGACTACCACCACGTACACTACAACATAATCATGCTGGGTTCCACCTGATTGCTTCCTAGAAAGTAGCTTAAAAATAATTGGGAAAAAATAAAAGAAAAGCATTCCAGAGAAGCCTAAGTTCCATGAAAGGAACTACATTAAAGCTTAAAATTAGACATACAGTGCTCAAGAGTCAGGGAATTAGAGGTGACTTCTCATCCTTTGCTCACATGCATCACATCATGTTGTGCTCTGCTATTCTCAGAAAAAGTCTTCCAGCACCTCACCCAGAGAGCAAATAAGGTACAGAACCAGGCTGGTATCCACAGGATCCAGACCTTACCCACTACAGAAGTGACATAAGGAAGAGACAAGATTTTCTATGTACTAATAACTCTGCAGCTAAAAACTCTTTGTGGGACACAGGAAATCTGAATTCTGTAGTGCGCATCACTCACTGCAACAAACACTTTCTACTGGGCCTTGGCTATTTTATTTTTTTTTTAATTTTCATACATATGACCCGAGACAGTATTCCAGGGATTTATGCTACTTTCTCATATACAAAACTGCAGCTCTAACTACCATAAAAACATCTGAATAAACAACTGCATGTGTAGTAAAATCTAAATACTGACAACAGCAAGTGTCCCAAAAGGCCACAAACAAAAACCTTATTCAAACACCATTCTCTCAGAAAAGAAGTTGAACACTACACAGCTAATCCTACAGATATCACATATATATTCACAGATATAATAACCCTAATGCCATCCAAATAAAAAAAAAAAAACAAACTCATGCAACAAGATGCTTTAAAGTCCTTGCCAATGCAGAAAAGTTTTGTTCAAAAAAAAAAAAATCAAAACTATTAAAAAAACTAAGTTGACAATCCATTTAGCCATTTCTCTAAGAATACACTAGCACATACATTTTCCCTAGTCACTGTATTTAAATTGTGCATTGTCTGATTTAAAGTTTCTATCAGGTATTAACAATAGGCTCCTTAGAACACAGCTTTAATAATAATTCTTTACTGAATCAGCACATTATAAACCTGTATATATCAAGAATAGAGTAGAATAGAAAATAAATAACTTCCTCTGGTTGCTACTTAGTACAACTTTAAATTTATTAATGGCAATTTCAATTGACCAACATGTCACAAGTAGTGTAATTTTCTAAGAATTCAAAACAGTCTTGGAAAAGAATTACAAAACACTTAGTTCACAGCTACTTCAAAACCAAACATTTTTCACAGAATCACAGGATGGTTTAGATTGGTGGAAGGGACCTTCAAAAATCACCTAGTCCAACCCTCATCCTACACCAAAATTCAAGTTATGTTTATTAACCATTGGGGAGAGTATTTTTCTGGACTTATGAATTTTAAAGCTCAAATGACCTACTAGTCCAAACTCTGCTATTTTTCACTTTTGTGACAATGAACTAAGAGAGGTTGAGTTGCATTCATTTTAATTCTCAGATTTATATAGAAACCAATAATGCTGTTCTTCCCACCTTTGAAAATAGAGAAGTGAAGAGAATTCAACCTCACAAAGTAAAGTTGTTATTCATTTTAGTTCAAGTAATCACATCTCAAAAACATCATACAAAACATCTTTTGAAAATCATCACCAGCAAGCCTTCAATCTCTTTTGACTTCAAGAGAAAATTAATGAAAAACTCCAAATCTGATACTCACAGGTTCATTCCTAGACATAGCTATTGTTAGATACCCACCCTCGAGACAAAAGAAGTATGCAAACATTCCATCAAAACTCACCAAAATAAGGTAAGGCACAGAAATCACACTGTGATTTCTGATTATATCAGAAAGTTGATTACACTTGCTTTCAGAAAAAACTTACTAGAACTTTTAAGTCTGCAGAATCCCTTAAGACAACGATGTTGAGATTTCTTACAAGCTTCAGAGCACAGAGAAAAGTTCTAAATAATTTAACACTGCCAAAATTTGTATTGTAATGTACTCAAAAGTACGAGCCAATCATTTTGGGGGTCTGAACCATAAAACAAGAAACACCATCCAAGTTTCCCAATGTTTTAAACTGAGTTTGTTTCCTTCTATCGAACAGGCAAAGCTACTCAAAATCCAAATCCCAACTCCAAACCACTGCTGGCAAATAAATCAACCACATACTGTGTACTGGTGATGCAAAAGACTGAAAATCTTTAATGGTTGAACTAACTGAGTCAGATTTTCATGACAGAACTCCTGTTTAACTAGCTCAGGAACAAGACATTCTGGATAGCTAAGATAAAAATAATGCAGCAGCAGCTCATTCAAACAACACTTCTGGATGTTTTCCTAGCAGAAGTAAAAGTACCTCATATTGAGCAAGACACAAATACTTAGCTTTAAAAGTAATTTAAGTCACCTAATAAAACTTTTCTCGGCTTTTTCAGGCTGTGTAAAAACAACTAATCTTTCTAGAGGCCCTTCTCCTTGACACGTGCTGAAAAATGGAAAGACACCACATCTATAGAAGCACTGGCTGGAAACATCTCCAATTTTCCAATTCAGTTATTCCAAAAGATCATTAATAGGCCACTGTTTCCTTATTAGCAACATTAATATATGAATGTTTTAATGACATGATCAAGGCCACGCTTCCATTTTGTCCCTTTCCACTATAGGGTATGCACATCCTTTGATCAAGATGAAGCAGTGGATCAGCTTTTTTCCCCCCCTCCTTTAACACTTTATCCCTCACCATCTTCCTCAGAGAAGTTCGCTCTTTTCCAGAGAACATCCCATCCCTGTGGAGTAACAGCCACTAAAGACGTTTTAGCAGGCACACAGTTTATAAACAGAGTGAAACGGATTTAAATGGTTGGACAGTCTGCCTTTCACAGCCAAACCAAATGGGGCACCCTCAGTGTACCAGCACAAGACACCTTTAAAAGGTGCTTATCTGAAAGCAAAAATACTCCTCCATAACACACTAAACAGGAGACACAGAAGGACACACCATGGCCTTTCCTACTAAAGCTCCATAAAGATCGAGGCTCGAGGGAACTTGCAGATTGCAAAGCAGTTTTCCCCAGTTAAGGTTTCTAATTCCACCAGGTTATTACAAACAGAACTGTTTAAACTCACACCTGTAAGGGCCCTTGAGAGACCAGACTGCCCTTAACAGTATCACTCTCTAGGAAAAAAGCAGGATTTCTGCTCCTGCTCTCCAGAGAACTCCAAGACTAGTTAATCACTGGCCTTTACGTTCCAACCCTTTACAGATGTGAGGGTCCTCATCAAATCTGCTCTTAGTTTCTTCTTTTCTGGTGTGCCTATGTCTCTAAAGCTTCCCTACAAATCAAGTTTTATAAACCTAACACTCTAGCAGAGTCTAGGTATCTACATACTATCATGCAAGAAAATAACCATACCATTTTAGCTAAGGCCCTTATTCAACAGAGCAATCACTTTCCTTGTCTTTAATCACATCTGTTAACTTGTCTAGTTGAAAGAACATATTATCAAACTTATATTTAATGTACTATGCACTACAGTGCTCAAATGTTTTTTTGGGATACTGTTTACTGTTCACTTTAGCCTTTCCACTAATCAGGCCTTTGATTTTTTCTTCCTGTGTTCTCTTCCTCCCTCAGTTCTTGTTAACTGAGCTTAGTTACACTGGTTTCCAATCTGCTACCAATCTTCTAAAGATCATTTTGAATTCTGACCCGGAGCTGTACAGTGCTTCCAACTTGGCAACATATTTATTTTGTGTTCATCACTACAGAATATAATGAAAATACATTCAAAGCTGAACTCACCAGGAGCACACTTTGTTTAAAAGTGAGATTTTACATGTCAGCTTCAAATGCAATTTTTCAACCAGCTGTACAAGATCTTTAAAAAAAATTATTTTTAGACCACGTTGCAGTAGCTTGAACAACAGCAGAAAATGTATAAAACTCAAGACAAACTCCTTATATGTCTGTCTCATTAAACGCACTGGTTACTGTAAAAAAGTTTGATCCAGACTGCTCTTAAACCTCAGAATCTTTCAGGGAACCAAAGTTCAGCCTTTCTATTTAAAAAAAAATGACTCTGATTGCATTCCCATCATATAATTTTATTCAGTCTTAGCAAATATCTGACTACAGGTTTTCCAACGGAATTGAACAAAGGCTGCACTGACTACACCAGCACTTTTCCAACATCCATAAGACTGTTTTTCCTGTTCTTCTTATCAGAAGGAAATTTCATACCTTAGATTCCCTGGTTTTCTTAATGGCACTACTCATTTTACCTCATAAGCTCTTTTCCCTGCTCTCATTTTCTTTGGCTAGACCCTTGCTGGTTTAAGGCCTTCAAAGGCCTCCAGATATATCCAAAAACCAGACTCTCACTATGCTTACTATTTGTTTTTCAAATGGAGGACTAAACAACAACATTAAACATTCAAATTACTAACGTTTACTTAATATTTAACAATTATAGTAAGCGTTCAGTAGCACCCTATTGCAACAGCCGCTTATCTGAATGTTCAACCTCTCAGATGATTCTCTCGATACAATTCTAAACACTTATTATTTTTACTCTGTCTTCAGAGCATCACTTTAAGCCTACTAGTGAAAATTACTACAGTCCTTCATTGTCACAAATATATTTCACTAAAAATAAGGGTAATTAGAGCAACTGTACAATTGAATTACATTAGCGATTTTAGACGTGTATCCTTAATCAATTTAAATAAATGTTGCGGGGTTTTTAATATATTTTTGTGAAAGCCAAGACTTCCAAACTTACCTGGTAAGGATGTAAACTGTTCATTAAGGGATTCGAGCACCTCTTTACAAGTCGTGTGAAGTGTAAACATTAGGTGGAAGCCGCCTTTAAAAACCACAGCACCCAGGGGATGAAGTGGCTTTGACAAACGAAGAGCTGCTTTCGCTCAGGTTCCTTGGTAGCCCTCCCCCCACCACTTCTCGATTAATTAACCAATTTTACAACACCGTAGCCCGCAGGCCTGCAAAACGCTTAAATATCGATAATAAAGCAGCGACACCTACTCGCGGAACACCCCGGCCGCGCTGGAATCCCAGCCCCGGGCTCCGCTCTCCCGCTCCCGAGACACCCGCACGCACCGCGGGAGGGACGCGCTCGGGCAGCCCCCGACCCGGGCGAGCGCACCGCCTCAGCCCGCCGAGCTCCCTCCCGAGCTGAGTGTCCCTCTTCCTCTTCCTCCTCCTCCCCTCAGCCTTCCTCCGGAGCCGCAGCTCCCACCTTTCCCACCTGATCCTGCCGGGAGCCGCCGCCGCAGCGATGGGCGGAGGCGGCGGCCAAAGGGCCGCAGGGCGCGCGCGCCGCTCCACCCTCCCTCCCTCAGGCGCCGGGGCCGCCCCTCACGGGATCCGCGTCCAGGGGCGGGGAAAGAGACCCGCCGGAGCTTCCTGTGCTGGCTCCTGGTGGGTGGGAGCAACCCCTGGGCGTGCTCAGTGTTGGATTCGGAGTGCGAATTTCGGTGGCGGGCTCTTGCTAGTGCTTGGAAGTGCTCCCCCGCGGGGGAGCAAGCGGTGTGCCAGGTGCAGGTGACGGGCTGCCCGGGGCAGGTAAAGGCCGGCGGGACCGTTCCGTCCCGGTGCCTTCCGTGTTGTAGCAGTCCCCGGGCGTGTCCGATACTGGAGCTCGGCTCCTAATGCCGAAACTGCGTCCGTGAAAGGGAACGGCAGGGCCTTTCCTTGAGGGAGGAAACACCCGCTCTGACTGTTACTGCTGCCTGTGATCATTACGCAGCGCGGGATAAAAGGCCAGCAAATCCTTTCTGTTCTGGAACCCGGCATGGACACGGGTCAGCACGGCTCCGCTCGGGGAGCCCCGCACTGGGAGGCGCCGCTCCCTCCGCACGGCCCAGCGTCTCTACGGCGAGAGCCGAGCTGCCCTTCCCTCTCTCCTCCCCTCCTCTCCATGGTGATGCCGCTCTCCCATCCCTCCCTCCCCTGCTCTCCCCGCCCCTCGGGCCCGACGGCCATCTTTGGCCGGGTGGCGGCGGCGCGAGCACGTTGCGCGCGCGGGCCCGCGCGCGGGATCACCGGGCGCCGCTTCCTCCCCCCCGCCCACCCCTCCCGCCGCGGCGCGAGGGCGCCGCGCGCGCTCCCACCCCCGGCACCGCTTCCGCTCCCCCCGCGCGGCTCCCGGTGAGTAACTCCGGCAGGGAATTCCCACCTTCCCGCACGCCAGGGAAGGGGTCCCCCTCCCCCCTGCCGTGCCGCCGGCCCGGCCGCCGCCGCCCGGCTCGGCCTGGGCGGCGGCCTCGCCCCCATCCACCGCGGGAGACAGGGGTCGGCTCGCCCGCGCCCCGCCCGGGCGTCGGCGCCGGAGGCTCCCGGGAATCGCGGCTCGCTGGCGGCGTGGGCACGGCCCGGGCCGGCACCGATCGCACACGCGGCGCGTCATCCCCGCTGCCTCCTCGGGTTTTGTGCCAGCCGGGGTCAGGGAGCGCCGTCCCCGCTGCTGCTCCCAGCCGCGGGAATGGCTTCCCTGGGGATGCCGTGAGGGCTCCGGAAAAGGGAACGCCGGCATTTTCCTCCTGGGAAAGCGGGGGACTTCCTTCTCTGGCGGGGGGTGGGGAGTGGAAAGCCGTGTTTTTCCAGATTTTGGGAGAGGCCGGTACCCACGTGGGGCGGTGAGGAGATCGAGGCCTCTCGTGGGTGCGACAAGGTGGAAAGGGTAGGGCTGGTTTTTACAAGGTATGTGTAAAAACTAAAGAAAAGCATGGCAGGGCTTTTCTCAAGGACCATGTAGTGTTTCCTCTGTGGAATGCTCTTGGCCATTTCACCTGCAAGTTCCTGTGGCAGTTTTCACATCCTAATTTAAGTTTCCCTGCTGTGGTTTCCTAAACTCCAGTGCTAAGCAAGTGGTCGAGAAATACTCCTTGTGGTAGATTGCTAATTTATGGGTTTATTCTCATGCATTTCACTTCATGTTAAAAGGGAATGTTAAAGATCGAGTGATAATTAATAGTGTTCAGCCCCAGCTAAACACACCCACTCGTTGTGCAGCGTCAGTGTATTTGACCATATGCTTTCATGTTAACGTTGAATTTTCATACTCCCGTCGTGTTCTATGAGTAACAATGATTTAATAGAGTAGGTAGATTTAGGACGTGTCTAAACTTTTTTTACATCGTCTCAGTTTCAAAAACAAGTGTCAAAACCTTAAACGTAGACTAGTTCTTAATTCTTAATAAACTTTATTTGTTCTTGTACCATTTACTGTTGTTTCTGCTTTGACACTTAGCAGAGAAGCGATCTCCCATATGCAATTGGAAAATCTGGTGTGTCTTTCATTTAAATATTCTTTGGGCATTCTAGTTCTTAACTTTCTTGTTCTTGTTACGGGGTGACTGTATGTAATCCATCAGCAGTGGACTCGAGAGGTAATTCTGGAGGATAATTGTTTCCAAAGGAAACTGGAAATGCTGCTCATCCTCACTTGTTTTCACAGCATTTGTCTTTGAGGTCCTGATGGAATGTAATTTTTTTAAATGTTCACTGTTCTTGTGCAGAGTAACTAAAGTATGGCACAATTCTGAACTCAGACCTTGCCTTCGCATCTTTTCATTGAACAATCTTTGCTCCTGTTTCAGTCTTAATTTACCTTTTTTTTAATGTTTATTTGTTTAAGTTGAATAATTCAATGCAGTTACAAATCCTTCTTGGTCATAATTGCCTTGCCTTAGTAAATTTTAATTTAGCTCCAATGCCTGTGAAAGAAATGAATATTGTTAATACAAGTGCATTACACTTGTTCTACAGACTGTACATTTCTGTTGCCTTTTGTGACAGATAGCAAGGCCTGCCTATGTGCTGCTTTTTTTTTTTAATCTTGTGTGTCAGAGTGTGCAGCAGCTGTGCCAGACAGTCTAAGAATGCTGACTTAGAATGGTTGTGATAGCATGTTTTATGTCTTATTTTTAGACATGTTTTACTTTTTGTATTAAATTACTTAATGGGCAGCTTTTGGCTTCAATAAATGATACTGTCAGGGTTTTTAGAATGTTTTCTCTTGCCAGCAGTTTTTATTCATTCTCTCACTCTTTCACCTGTGTTGTCAGTCCATCATTCTGGGAAGCTTTTCTGCTGTCACTCCATCATCATTCACTAATTCAAAACAGTGCTTTACTCTTGTAGTTAGTAACAAATTAATATTTTCACGCTGGCTTTTATTCTGTTCTTGATTTGCAAAGGAGAAATGCAGTCATGAACATAAATGCTTCTGAGTACCAGTTTCTCCTGTCCCATAAGTGCTGACTGCCCTGAACAGTTCCTGGTGTGCTGAGCTGCAGCTCTGCTGACCTGTGTAGTGTCTTGAGAGTTCTGCTGTCTGCACCTTGGAATCAGCCCATTCTATTCAGTATGTCAACTTAAATGCCACCCAACTGACTGCACATAAGTATGTAACTTGAGTTCAGTCTGGGTTTGGACAGTTGGTTTATTTTGCATCTAAGTAGAAATTACTGGTTTTCTCTTGTGGACAGTTGTCATTGTAGACATCAGCACAGTCCTGGAAATATTGCAGGAGTGACAGAAGTCACAAATATTATTTTTCTGAAAAAAGTTTAAGAGCACTATAGAGTTTTGGATAAACTGATGCTTCCGTTGTTTAGATGGGGCAGGGAGGCAGGAGTGTGTGTCTCCACGCTGGTTCCTTAGTTCTTTTCACCTCCACTGAGTACTTAATAAATGTGTATAAATAGAGGTGTACATACTTACTTCTGTGGCCCCTTCAAAACTATTCACCACAGATGGGTGTTTTCCCATGTAAGTGAGTTAGAATTAAAAACCCCCCAAACTTAAGCTGTTTTGTTACTTACCAACCAGGGGTTGATTCATTGCTGAGTGTAAACTTTAGTGGGATTATCCCACCTAGACTGGGAGGGAAAGCTTGCTGAGAAAGGTGGCAAGAACTGATTGCTTCACACCGTCTTTACCTTGGTGTTTTAGAGCAGCCCCCATCCCACTCTTCTGCTTTGGAGCTTTATTTTCAACACCGTCTGGAGCGGTGGGTGACTGAGGGGAGGGGTTCTCTGGGCTGCTATCAGCACTGCTCAGGCAGGAGCCTCCAGCAGAGTTTGGGGGGCTGGGGCAGGTTTGTCTTGTGGATGTTGCTTTTGTAACTCACAGAACTAGTTTCCTGCTCCTTAGAGCCCAGGGGAGCCCTGCCTGGAAGGTACAGTGGAGTCTGTCTGCTCAGGCCTTGTTGGAGAAAAGGCTGATCCAGATCAGGCACTTCCTTTGGGAAACCAGTGAGTGATTCACCCCCAAATACTCTGTGCACTGTAAACTACAGGATTTCAGTGACAAGCACTGGGATCTCTTCCCAAAGAATGTATCTTTATTTGAAGTACTGACAAAATCCACTGTCTGTCCCCAAGAAAATTACCCTGACTCCAACATCTTTGTAGTCTTTAAAAATAAGGCTTTCAGTTTTTTGTTTTCTTGTCTGTTAAAGTGAGAACTGCAAACTGTTGGCCTGGTCTAGGGATGTAATTTCAATGTTCAGCCCTACTTTGTCAGTCTGACCTGACAGTGCAGAACTGTTGAATCACTTTTTAATTTTTATTAATAGTCATTTTAAATCATCAACTATGTTGATAGCACTTTCTGGCTTAGGAAATTTAAAGTGTTAAAGAAAAAAATTGAAATATTGAAAGTAGAAGCTGCCACAATGAGGTTGGCAGCATAACTAATAGTTATGTTCATTTATATCTGATGAAGAATTATCTTTTCACATTAGTTTAAAAATAATTTGGAAATTGAAAAGAGGAATAAGACTACCCCTTTTAAAAGGAACTGATTAAAATATTTGTAGCTATGGTAGTAGTGGATTTAAAGAGACAATAACATCGGCTTTTCTGCCCTTTGCTCCTTGTTAGATGTCAGTCTCTTCCTTTCTTTCATATTGCATTAGTATCTGTAGTTCCACAACTGAAGTTTAGGGAAGGATAGAGTTTACCATGGTAAATGTGCCATCCACCTGTTTTTTTCTTGCTTCCTTCAGGAGTTTGAAAGTCAGAACCTTTCTTCATATAATTGTATGTAGTAAATATAGTCTATAAACTACTGCAGGATGCTTTAGTTTGGTGAAGCAAACAACTGGACATCCAACAGAAAATACTTCCTTTAATAAAAAATATTGGAATCCTTTTCTTGGATGAAACTGCACCTTTGGACTGTGTGGAAACCTGAAGTATTTCAAGACTCCTTTCC